TTGCGGTGTGATCCTACTTATAATGGTTTCGATTTTTGTTGGGTCCATTTTTATGCCTGTGTTGGATACGCTATAACCCAAAAAACTTACTTAATTTGTCATGAAACTGTATTTCTTTGGATGGGCGTAGAGTTTCTCGTACTAGCGTAGTTCGAATTTTGTTGTCAATTGTTGTACATGTTCCTCTTCAGAATGACTGTATAACATTCTGTTGTTAAAGTAGACTAAGATGAATTTCCTGATGAGGTTGCGAAATATTTGTTTCATTAATCTCATGAATGTGTTGGGTGCATTTGACAGACGAGAAGGCATGACTGTTAGTCCATCTCGTGTCCGTATTTGGTGGTATTGATAGTGCAAGTCGATCATCTAACGTGGTTCTATTTTCGATACACATCTTTAATCATTCTTTTTTCATGCGTACCATTTTGACCGGTACAACGCACGAACTTGTACTTTCTCTAATCTGTCCTCTAGTGACGAGATCTTTCACTTGTCGTTGTTGTTCCTTATGTTTCATCTGTCTTAGCCTATAGGCAGGTCAGTTTGGTAAGATTGATCTAGGTATCTGGTCTATTGCATGTCGTTGTTGTTCCTTCTGCAGACTGTCTGTCATGACATCCTGGAAGACTTTTAGTAGAGGTTGGAGGTGTGATGGTATTAAGTTTTTTTGCTCGGACCCCTCGAGTAGAACTAGGGTTAGTGCCGTCGGTGCTTCTCAAATTGACAGCATAAACGTGCCTCTTGGAACGATTGTTTCCTCATTGTCATTTACTCCTCTTGAGTTTTTTTTTGTGGTAGTATGTGTTTGCCATCTTTCTTGAATATGTGTTTTAAACCCGTCATGTTGAGCTTTAAGGTCGTATCACAAAAACATCACTGTAGAATATGACATGCATTCATGGGAACGACGCCACACCATACTTGTTTCTTTATCTGGTTTCTTATCGAGAACTCAACAAGACACTATTGATCCATACATATTTCATTCCCTTTTTTCAGCAAAGTGAAGGAATAGGATTAGGGATGTTACTATGTGGATAATTCTTGCTTTTCTCCATTAGTGTAGAAATGACATTTTCACAATTTCCATTGTCGATTATCAGGCTGCAAACTTTACCTTTTGTTGTACACTTTGTGCAAAAAATGTTTTGTCTTAGCAGCGACTGATCATGTGCTGGTTCTGATTGTAAGACTTACTGTATGACTAGGAATTCACCTTCATCCTCTGGGAGTTGAAGTGCTTCATTGGAATTTTCTTCTTGCTCCTCATCCTCGCTTTTCCTCCATGACACCTAGGTCTGCAAAAGAGACGACCTGGCTTGTGGGACAGTTGGAGATGATGTGGTCGAAACCGTGGCATCTAAAACACTTTATGGCTGGCATTCGCCCGGATGAGCTTCCTTCTTGAGTTTCTTTCTACCTTGGCCAATTTCTGTATTGCCAGACTCCGATTTCCACGTTCCTGGTGAGCGGTTGTCGGTAGTTTTCGCTGTTGGGGTTGGTCTGTATGAGGAAATATTACCTTTGTTGCCTTTCAACTTTCAGGGCTAAGGTTTGGACATCACTCAATGATCAATAAGATTGTAGGTGAACTATGTTGCTATTGACAGGCTTCAAGCCTCCGAGGTAGCAGGCGATGGTGTGCTCCTCTTGTTCGACCAAGTCACACTTTGTTTGTAACTGATCGAATTTGGTCGTGAATTCCTCTACATACATATCTCGCTGCTATAGGTTGTAGACCTTTAGGAACATATCTTGACAGTAGTGTGGCGATAGGTATTTCTGCGGTAGCGCTTTCTTCATTTTGTCCCACTTTGTGATCTTGTCGCTGCCATCACTCATTCGTTGACGTTGTAGGTTGTCCTACCATAATGAGATGTGCTTTTTCAGCTTAATAGTTGCTTGTTTGACCCACTTATCTTTAGTTGTCTCCTTGAATTCGAAAGTTCGTTCGACCACTCGCAGCCAATCAATGAATTCATTTGGATCCATACGTCCGTCAAAATCAAGGAGATTTATTTTAATGTCGAAGTCTTAGTGGCCTCCAGGTTCTTCTAGTGGTCGCTTCTGGTTATGAATGCCAGAAGCAAGTGGACGGTATTCATTGTCGCTGTTTTCTTCACTGTGGAACTGATTGTCGACTCTCTAGGTCATGATCGAGGGTGACTTTTTCTTGGGTCCATTCATAAAGTTCTGTCAATTACTGTTGCAGACGACAAATTTCATGTTGGATCGCATCCCGAGTCAATTTCTTCTGGGGGACATGGCTAATGGTTTGGATGAGGAGATTGGGGGAAAAAGGAAGAGGGGCAAGATGGATTGACGAATAGAAAGAAGAGAGTGGAAAATGAAGGAAAAAGATAAAAAAGAAAAGAGGAGGGGGGGGGGGGGGGGTTGTGGACTAGAGCGTGGGGGGTATGGATGCTAGGTAACCCTAGGATAGGACTAGGGTTGGGCTAGCTCTAATATCGAATGATATCGGAGTTAACCCAATCCACCACGGAAGACACAAAGTTATTAATAATTTAAAAGAAGATTACAATGATGACTTAAAAGAAAGAATGAATGCAGAAATCAAAATATTACAACAAGACCCAACACGTAAAGACACAATAAGCTTGAGGAGGAGGGAATTCGTAGAGGAGGTGCCAGAGTTGTGGCTGCGATGATGGCCAGAGTAATGTTAGGTGCAAGAGAAGCTGGAAATATGGTTGAAGACTGAAATTGGGAGGCGGCGGGAAAGGCGTCCGAGGCCGAAGAACGAAGGCACTAATGGCGGCCAAAGTCTATGGGCGGAGGCACGAATAGCGGTCGAAGCAGAGGAGCGGCGGCATGGATGACGGTCAGAGCCGAGGAGCGGAGGCACGAAGGGCGGCCAGAGCCGAGGAGCGGAGGCACGCCGGGCCAGAGCCTAGGAGCCGAGACGAAGGAAGATCGTGAGCTGTCGGAAGGAATGAGGCAACAGAGGGAGTCGCTGGGATGGCCTGCCAGAGGCTTTGGCCTGCTGGGAGTGAGCCAACAGAAAGAGGTGTGGGCAGAGGAGCGATTGCATGAAGCTAAAGCGGGGTCATCTGGAAGGGGCAATAGGAAGCTGAGAGTGCAGGGAAGCTGTAGTGAAGGAGTCTGAACGGGGCAACAGGGGAAGTTGCAGTGGACTGGGCGGCAACTTGGGAGGAATAATAGGAAGAATTGGGCTGCTGAGGGCTAGCAAGGAGGTGGTGGTAATGCATGAAGGTTGCTGGAAAGATTGCAGGGCAGCGTGTGGTGGTCAGAACGACAAAGATAATCTCCATTTGGTGCAGGTTTCAGCCAGAGCACCTTCCTAGTTGTCGGATACAACCCTCGGGAGGGAAAATATTCAGACAATTAATTCAGATTTCAAACTAAGTCCCCTAACACTAGAGACTTTATCTCCTGATTATAAAAGATTTTACATAGTTTAGGAAATATTTAAATTAAGAAAGGAGAATAATAATAAAATCAAGATCTCAGTTTTTAGGAAAGGTTTAAAATTAGTGAAGGAGAATAAAATCAAGGTCTTAGATTTTAGGAAATGTTTAAATTAGGGAAGTAGAATAAAATCTAGATTTAGTCTTTTAGGAAATGATTTAAAGTAGGAAAAGCCCCAGGAAGAAAAATAAGAAGAGGAAGAAAGGAAAGAGGAAGGAAGGGAAAAAAAGATGGAAAGTGGTGGAAGGGGTTGGGGGAGGGGTGCTTTTAGAGGACCGGCCGGTCCAGTTAAGTTGGACCTGTGCCCAGCCGGTTCCCCGTGAGCCCCGCGTCAAAAGGACTTTCAGTACTTTTCTAAATCCAAAAAAGAAAAGAAAAAAAAAATGAACATCTGTCATTCATTTTTGTGAGCGTTGTAAGAATGTGAATTCTCTCCTTTCTAGATATTAATCGTTTTGGCCTAATGACTTCACGGTTTTGTTTTATTGATCAAACTATTTATAAGATTCCTCATCTGAAGAGCGCTCTTGTGCAAGCATGCATACTTTTAGAATTTCTGAATAATTTCGAACTGTTATATCAAAATATCAAGCACCGCCATTGCCGGTCCCAAGCCTGAATGTGAAAAGTGGAGGTTTGCGTTAGGTGGTTGACAGCTAGCGTTAAACTTGTCGAAAAAAATCATGACATAGCTAGCTCAGGAAAAACTTGAATTATGGAGGTCTACATTGGAGTCTAATGACCTTCATTTAAGTGGAACTAAAATTGAGTACATGGAATGTAATTTTAGTAGCAGTAGCTCGAGTGACAAAAGTGTGACTTTGGGTGATCAAATTATTAAAAGGTATAATGATTTAGATATCTTCGCTCTGTTGTTCAAAGCGATGGTGATATAGATGGGGATGTTGATAGTAGAATTCAAGTTGGTTGGTTGAAGTGGAGGAATGCTTTGGGCCTTTTGTGTGATAGAAAAGTACCGCTTAGACTGAAAGAAATATTTTATAAGACGGTGGTGAGACCTGCAATGCTGTATGGCGCTGAATGTTGGTCTTTAAAAGAGAAGCCTAATAATAAGTTAAGAGTTGCCGAGATGAGAATGATTAGGTGGATGAGTGGCTTTACACTTAGAGACAAAATGCGAAATGAATATATTCGTGATATGGTTGGTGTAGCTCCCGTGACAGACAGAATTTAAGAAAGTCGTCTTAGCTGGTTTGGTCACATTAAACGTCGACCATGTGATGATCCGATTAGGAGAGTAGATGTTTTAGATCTGATTTGTGTTAAAAAAGACAGAGGTAGACCTAGGAAGACTTGGGCTTATTGTATAAATAACGATCTTAATTTACTAGAACTAAATGAAAATATGACATTAAAATGGACGCAATGGAGAAAAAAGGATTCATTTAGCCGGCCCCACGTGGTAGGATTAAGGCTTTGTTGTTGTTGTTATATCAAAATATTCATTTTAATGGTTTATGTGGGATGAAATTCCAACTGCTATTGCATTAAATGTATGCACTCTTGATCAAATCTTCTGCTTTCAGGCACGAATACAGGAAATGAAGGAGAAAGAACTGTACTGCTTAGAAAATGATGATAAAAATTCTCACATCTGTAAAGTATGCTTTGAATCGGCGACTGCAGCCGTGCTTCTCCCATGTCGGCATTTCTGTTGTAAGGATTCTTTTATGTTTTAGCAGCTAATATAATTTAGAGGCACTTACATATATGTCACAAGTCTTATATACTTGCGTATCTGACACCTAAACATTCATATTTACATGGATACCACTAAAAACTTTAACATTACATCAAAAATACCACCACAACTATCATTTTAAAAGTGAAATACACCTTTCATGCATAATTTTATTACACCAAAGTGTTATAAATTAAAATATCTAACTTTGGGTGTTAGATATGTAAATACGTAAGAATTATGTGGTATGTATGTAAATTTCCCTATATTTTAGTTTGATTCATGATTTAATGATCGCTAGCTTCTACTTGTCTACAGTATGTAAGCCCTGTTCGTTTGCTTGTTCCGAGTGTCCTCTTTGTCGAACAGTGATTACAGATCGGATTATTACGTTTACCTCTTAAGTTCCTAGACTTGGTTAAAGGTAATTATTTTGTTTTAATTAACTTGAGCTTTAATGTTTTGCAATCTAATGCATGTCTTATATAAATATATTTTTTTTTTAAACAGGAACTTGTTACTTTGTTTTAGACACATTCTCTCTTTATGTGAATTTCATTCTTTTTATCTATAGATGGAATTTTAAAATCCTTCTATGAAATAGTTGTAATTGTTTCTCATTTCTTATGGCTCTTTTAGCTTCGTTTTGCCATGGAAGTTTCTTTGATGTAAAACTTGGGCTTTGGCCTCCTGCATATATGTATACAAATATAGTATCCAAAATTTAGGGTCAGTCTTCTAAAGAAAAGTAAATGTAACTGCTTGAGGAGCACCTGACTTCCCTATTCCTTTTGGTCTCATCATAATTTTATTATTTAATTTCGCTTTTGTTGTCTTGTGTGTGTATTTTTCTAATATTTCCCTGATATTACAAATTCTGTTTCACGAGTTCAAAGTAGTCACTGTGACTAGGACCATGGTCAAGCCGATCTGGTTTGATCTTGAACAGAGTCATTTTAATGTCTTTGTTGGTGTTTATATTTCAACTTAATGAGTACTACAATTGTTTTCTCCTTTATATAGTTAATTTGTTATCTCTTCAACCCCACTTCGTTTGTGTTCATGAAATTCTTTTTGGATGAACGAGTCTTTTTGTTAAGTTCATATCATGCCAATCTTTGGGGAAATATTGTTAGTTAAAGGTGTTTAAAATTGAAATTTTGATTATCTTTTTCATTAGATATTAAATTTATCACATGATTAAATTTTAATTTTTGGTGGAGTATATCTACGTTTATTCGAATGAGATGTTCTCTTAGCATAAATCATCCTTCAAGTTGGAGAATTTTTATGTGCATCAGGTTATCATGTGAGCAAGTGAATGTTTTATAGCTCATAATCTGTAGATTTCACTTCTTGTTTAGATTTTGACACAATAGTTTGATTCTTATTCTTGCATGAGATCTATCTCTGATAAAATGCTTGATTCATTTAGTTAACATTGGGGAATTATTAATGCTTCTAATTTGTATTTTGTCCATATTGGCGTGCAGTCTTGCACGTAGAGGCAATGCCATGTCTTATAATATTGTAAATAAAAAAATTAACTAAACTTTTATTGAAGAAACAACATGAGAAACTATCTGAAAATGTGGTTTTGCATTATTAAAGCATAATTTTTTTTTAATTAATATATGATATTGGGTTAAAGCATCATGTGATTAGGGCTGTCAATTTGGCTCGTTATTCGTGAACAGCTCGTGTTCGGCTCGTTAAGCAGCTTGTGTTCGGCTCGTTCGTTAAGCCTAATGAGCCGAACACGAACAAATTTTTAAGCTCGAAATGTAAACGAGCCGAACACGAACAACAATTTGTTCGCTCGTGATCGGCTCGAAATGGCTCGAAAAAAAAATTATATAACTTTTTATATAACAATATATTACATATATTATTTATATAATAATATATTATATATATTTATGTCTAAATTTAAATTATAACACCTCATGTGGCAATGTGGTAAATGTCTTCTTTTGTATAGATTTGATCCAAGTTCGAATCTTATACTTTACATCTATTTTTCTCAATTTTAATTTAAAGAGCCAATTTCGAGCCGAACACGAGCCGAACACGAACATAAATATTTAAATCGAGCCGAATACGAACACTACGAACACAGTGTTCACGAGCCGATTTCGAACACTAGCTATTTTGAACGAGCCGAACATGAGCCAAGCCTGAGCTCGCTCAAGCTCGGCTCGTTTACAACCCTACATATCATATCAACTTCAACATGTAAGTGGTTGGTTTGTCAGTTATTTTGCATTCTTGTAGTTCAATTTTTTCAGGGAGATCAAAAAAAAAAAAAAAAATGAGACCGAAGCTTTCTAGCAGTCACACTGCAGTTAGATTGTCATAGTGGAAAAATGTAACTTTTAATTGTAGTTTTGTCAAATAAAAAAAAACTGCGGTGTTGCACCTAATGCACCTTAAATCCTTAGAGCTAAAATGCATTTTAATTTCTCTAATGATACGGGTTCAATTTTTCCCATTGAGTAATATAACATTCACATTAGCTATTAACACAAGTGACCACGCTATATGTTGTGCAAAAATATTAAATACTCGGCGCGGCACTAAAAATGTTACTTTTTGCAACAAATTTGTATTATTTGTTAAATTAAACCCTGAGGCTGCTGGCTTTAGCCCATAAAATACTAGGCTTCCCTCGCGCTCCTTCGGCTGCTGACACATCTAGGGCTCCCGTCCCCGCTACTTCACATATTTTCGTTTCTCGTTAAGCTCCGTCTTCCATGTCGTCGACGAGTTCCTAACTATCGCGACATGCTAGCCAGTAGCCTCCGCCCGGGCAAAAGTGATCCCAAACAGAAAATAATTATTGTTCAAAACAAGTATTTAAAAAAACAAATCAAAACAAACAAATTAAAAAAAATAAAAAAAATAAAAAAAATTTGAAAAAAAAAAGTAAAAAATAAAATAAAAATATATAAAGTATTCCCGTAGATACACTTAAATACTCCATCATCAAATATAAAAATTCGAAGAGTATTTAAAGGGGGATTTAGTCAGAATAAAATGTTTGATATAAAATTTGAGATAGTACCTGATGTAACGTGCTGTTGAGATTTTTGAAATATTATTTGAATTTCAGTTTTAATCTGACCGTTTTGTCTCATGTCATATCATAGGAGTGTTTTAGAACTAGTACTGTTTTAAAAGTTTTGAAAGGCTACATGACTTGCAGTATGTTGTTTCAAATTATATTTTAATGGAATTTTAAAGCTTAATTCTTGTTGAGTTAAAGTTTAATTCTTAAGCTTTATTATGGTAGGCTTGTTAAAGTTCAATAATTCTCATTTGGTAAAGTTTTTTTTTTAATTAAGTCGTTTAAAAATTGATGACCTTAAAATAGAGGAAGATTCAGTCAACCTGAAATCTATGCTCGTAAAATCAAGGATTGAATTGTGCGGAGCTAAAGTTTTATTTCAAAAGCTTGAAACAAGCTTGAGTCAGAGCTTCAATTTAATTATGGTCAAGAGTTTGAACTTGAATAGCTTTCAACTATGCTCGACTCCCCAACGAAAATTCCACACAAAAAGTGAAAGTAGCCATAAAAAAAAGGAACTTTTAATTATACAAAGTTGAACCAATATGCTATGTTGTATAATTATATTTTGCAAAATCTATAAATAGTGTTTTCCATAAGCCTTTATTTCATTTTATTATTTCTATGCTTATATAGCTGCTCTTACTATGTTGCCTATTGTGGTAATTAAGCCGAGCTTGATCTGCCTTTACCTTAAGCGTGAATTTAACTAGTTAATTATGTTGGAGCTCATATTTGGGCTTAATTTTAAAGTGGGCATTTATCTACATGCCACCAAATACCAATATATTTACATATATCATTCAAATATTTTATATCATATAAAAAATATCACTATTTTAATTTAAAAAAAGTGAAATATAGATTTTCATACATATAAAAAGTGGCATGTACATTAAAATTACAGTTTGGAAGTTAGAATGTAAGTACAGAGGAACTAAATGGTCTGTATGTAAGCCATTCTTTTTTTAAATTTGAGGCCACTCATTGACTTCTAAACTTTGAAAATGATTCAAAACTGTAATTATTTAAAAGAATGATTACAAAATAATATTATTTTTATTTCATATTAGAATATAACTAAAGAAAACAATCATTAAAGATGACATAAAAATTAAATAAAAATGGCACAAATCATTTTATAGCTAATCACCAAATTTAATATTTTTAAAACTTATTTTATTTTAATTCGTTAAAAAGATTTATATTTTACATTATTATTATTATTATTATTATTATTATTATTATTATTATTATTATTATTATTATTATTATTATTATCTGCCCAACTTTAACATGGGCCTTAAGCCACTATTTTGGGGCCTTCCAGCCCACGATCCACTAGAGGAATGGGCGTGGAATGCTTTTGAAATTAGCTCCAGTGAGCTGGTCCCTAAAGGTTCCTTGGATTTTTTTTGCCGGATCTCCCCCAAGGCCAATCGAAGCTCTCCTTCATTATCTGCTCGCCGTTTCACTGATCTCTCCTCTCTCTGGCCACTCCCTACGCCGCCGTCGCTGCAGGCCAGACATTGCTCATGGATGCAATCAGGAAGAAGGCGACGAGACTCAGAGAGCAGGTCGCCAAACAGCAGCAGGTTCCCTTCCCGTTTGCCTTTATTCCTTTCATCCGAGTCCATCTTTATATGTTCTCGCTGTTAGGGTTTGAACTTCATTTCCGTGTTTCTGATCTCATTGATGCGCTCGAGAAAGGTTGGTTTTTGTGTTTTGAATTGCATGCTTCCACGACATGGAAGAATGGAGATGACTGTGGTTAATAAGTACTTCCATATTAGTGCTGCGATGGTATTATTGCTGCACATTTTAATGTAGGAAATGGTTGATGATTCTGGGCTTGGTTTGTTTTCCTTCACCATGGATCTGATTGAATCACTTTACTCGTTCTTATATAGTGAGAGGAGTGGAAAGAAAAAGAAGAGATTTTTTTGCTCTAGGGTATATGAATGTTTTGGGCTACATATTTGTGAAAACATATGTTGGTTTCGATAAACCAATTGGTTGAAAAGTGACACTCACTCGCGGGGATTAGGTTTTCAGTTGAGAAGTGGTTTGATCCTGGTGCGTCGCATTGACTCTTGTTCCTCTTTGGTTCATGCTAAAAAAATTGTGACGCACCAGGATAGAGAGAAAAGAAGATGCATTTTTTTCAACTGATTGGGTGCCCTAAGTGAGAAGAGGAAATTAATATACCAATGTTGATTGGGAGTTTATAGAAAAATTTATAATTATTTTCACATATTCTCCTCATAGGAAGAAAGTAGTTTGAATGTAATTAAAATTTTGAACGTGTATTACCTTTTTTTCCATTTTCTCCCAAATTTCGGGAGTGAAGTAAAATCCTTTGTACAGAGGAAGTCTTTTCTCTTTTTTTTTTCACATTTGAAATTTCAACCAAAAGGAGATGTTCACTTGATTTTGATTTCTTTCTCTCTATCCAAATTTTGATTCGTAATTGAAGTTTTAAGGTTTTTGGAAGCAATTTTTACATGTAAATCACGAGTTGTTAGAAACGTTGGAGCCCGGTCCACTATGCTTGGGCGGTTACTTTGCTTTGGAGAGTCACACCTCTTCACAAATAACCACTTCCGCCTTCCTCTTTTGTGAAGTGAAACATCTCTTCGCTCCCTCCTGTTCGTAAATAAAAATTTTAAAAATTTCGGATGACTCTCCTTGGGTTTAGAAGTCACGCTTTGAGTTCTTCTTTGATTTCTTCGGGATAGAGGAAGGTTTACTCGGGGCAGAGGAAGAGTAGTGCAAGGAGGAACAGTTCTTTGCGGCAGAAGGAGGGCAGAGGAAGAGAAGTGCAAGGAGGAGCAGTTCCTTGCGGCAGAAGGAAGAAGAAGGAAAAAAAAGGAAGAAGAAGGACATTGTTCTCCCTGAGCTTCTTCTTGGTGGCTTGTGACAGAAGAGAAATTGAGTTTATTTCTCTTGTAAGTTTGTCTTCTTCGGTGTAGAGATTTTTCGGTGTATCTCGATATAGAGAGAGAAGAACAGAGAGAGAATAAGAGAAAGCAACAAGAGTGAGAGATTCTTTTTGTAAGCCGAGGTGATCGACTAGTGTAAATACCTCAAGTAGTAAAATCCTCTGCAACTTCGTGGACGTAGGCAATTTGTCGAACAACGTAAATCTGTGTGTTCCGTTATGTTTTTTTCTGGTGTGATTTTTCTCGTTATCTTTTTGAATTCGTCGATCGTTCTCCTGTTTGATTTATATATATACCACATCAACTGGTATATCTAGATCTCACAACAACAACAACTGGTATCAAAGCGTGGTTTCAGATTTGAGAAAAAATGATGACTGCAGATGAAGTTAAATTTTCAGGAATCAAGAAGTTTGGTGGCACAGATTTTGGTTATTAGAAAATGCAGATAGTGGATTATATTTATGGGAAGAAACTTCATCTTCCGTTATTGGGGAAAAAACCTAAAATGATGGATGAAGCTGAATGAAATTTGCTTAATCGACAAGTTCTGGGGGTTATTTCATTGACCCTATCAAGGTCTGTTGCATACATCGTCGCTAAGGAAATGACGATTACAGATCTCATGGCAGCCTTATCAGGTATGTATGAAAAACCATCGGTGAATAACAAGGTGCACTTGATGAAGAAGTTATTCAATTTGAAAATGACAGAAGGGGTTTCTGTTGTTCAAGACCTGAATTTTTTCAATATTATCACAAATCAATTGTCGTCTGTGGAAATTGATTTTGATGATGAGATATGTGTACTGATCTTATTGACTTCATTGTCCGATAGTTGGGAAGTCATGATGATAGCAGTTAGTAGTTCTGCAGTTAAATCAAAACTGAAATACAATGTTATTTGTGATTTGATTTTGGCTGAGGAAGTTTGCAGGAAAGATTCTGACAAGGTCTCAGGTTCGAGTTTGGCAATAAATGTTGATTTTAAAGGGAGATTGCATGATAGAAACTCAAGTATAGGGAGATCAAAATCAAAGTTTAGTAAGCAGACAATCTGTTGAAATTGTGGCAAGGCTAGTCACTTAAAGAAGAACTGCAGGAATCCTAAGAATGATAACGCACATGTGGTATATGAAGAATCACAAGATGCACTATTGTTGGTAGTTCATAGTTCTGTTGAAGACATGATATTGGATTCAAGGGCTTTGAATGTGGTTGTAAATCTACCAGAGGCCACAGTGCAGGGCAGTGATAGAAGTGAAGAGGAAAGTGGGTCCGGGGCACCCATTCCTATTGTTCCACAGATAGATGTTGAAGAACCACAGAGCTATGAAAAAATTTTGCAAGATGAAAGTTTGAGCAAGTGAAAGCTGGTAGAACTTCTACCAGGGAATAAGACATTTCACAAAAAATGGGTGTATTAGGTGAATACTGAGCATGATGTCAGTAAGATGTACAAGGTTAGACTTATTGAAAAAGGCTTTCAGCAAAGGCAGAATATTGCCCATGCAGTGAGAGTTGTAAGAAGAGACAAGAGTGACCTAGAAAATAGCTTGGAGGTGCAAAGTTATGTGGAACTTGCTGATATGTTAACTAAGGGTGTTACTCTTGAGAAACTGAAGTTGTGCACAATTTCAGTTAGTTTTCTATAGTGAAGACAGAGCTTTGAGTTGTAGAGGTGGAGGATTCAATGTGGATGATACATGTTGAAGAAAAAAACGACACCGTCAGTGGAGGATATCAGTTTGAGGAAGGAGATGTTGTAGTCTGTGTACCGGTCTCCAAGTGGAAAATTGTTAGAAACGGTGGAGCCCAGTTCATCATGCTTAGGCGGTTACTTTGCTTTGGAGAGTCACACATCTTCACAAATAACCACTCCCACCTTTCACTTTTGTGAAGTGAAGCATCTCTTCGTTCTCTTCTGTTCTTGATAAAAACTTCGGATGACTCTCCTTCGGTTTAGAAGTCACGCTTTGAGTTCTTATTCGGTTTCCTTGGGACAGAGGAAGAGAAGTGCAAGGAGGAGCAGTTCCTTGCGGCAGAAGGAAGAAGGAAGAAGGAAGAAGAAGAAGATTGAAGATTTTCTTGGTGGCTTGTGGCAGAAGAGAAATTGAGTCCATTTCTCTTGTAAGTTTGTCTTCTTCGGTGTATCTCAGTGTAAAGTTTTCTTCGGTGTATCTCGGTATAGAGAGAGAAGAATAGAGAGAGAAAAAGAGAGAGAGCAACGAAGAGTGAGAGATTCCTCTTGTAAGTCGAGGTGATCGACTGGTGTAAATTTCTGAAGTAGTAAATTCTCTGCAACTCCGAGGACGTAGGCAATTTGCCGAACCAAATAAATCTGTGTGTTTCGCTGTGTTGTTCTTTTCTGGTGTGAGTTTTCTCGTTATATTTTTCACTTCGTCGATCGTTCTCCTGTTCCTGTTTGATTTTGATTTATATATATACCATATCAACTGATATATCTAGATCTCGTAACAACAACACGAGTTACCAGTATCTGTGGATGACATGACATTTATGAGGTGAATGACAATTGTCAATCAGGAATGACAAAAATCAGACAGTTACATTAGGAGTTTTCTATAATTAGAAGCTTCCATATTTAAATTACTTCTAATATTTTTATTGTGATTTATTTACCTTTTAGCTGAATATTTAGATTGAGAATTTATATTATTAAGTGACTTAAAATGGATTATGCACTTTATTTTGTACCTAAAATAGATTGTAAGATTATTATTTAATGGAATGAAAGCAAAAGGAAGAGGCATTAAGCCTATTCAAGATTCAACCTATTTTTCTAAAAACTTTGACATGGTATTAGAGCCAATTTTTTCCCTAACCACTAGTAATCATTGGAGGACCGTCAAGACAATCTTTTCGTCGGCTTTCTTGCGGTAAGAGAGGAATTATTTCTTTGCCTTCATCTTCGTTCGTCTGCTTCTGCCCTCGTTGTACCACTTCATCGCCTCAACCCTCTCACAACATGGGGAACCGATCGCAGGGTTTGGTTCGGCTCTCACAGCACGGAGATCACGTGATACTACAGAGGAGTGAGCTCCCAAATTCGAGCGCAGTGAGGAAAGCAGCGAGGGAATTGTAGCGTATGAGGAGATCTGAAACTCCTGTTACTCTGTCTGTTCGCACGACTCCAACGCCTCCTCTTTCCTCCAAACCATCTTCTGTGGAGCGATATAGTGGCAATTAAAGCATATAAGAAAACAAGAATGGGATCGTTTGCTTACAGAGATCTGATTTCTCCTTCTCTATTCCGCTATAGCCCTTGCGAGTACGACACCCTCGTCTCTCTCCATAAATTAGCGACGGGAATGCAGAGTACATCGAATCCCACTGTCGTCCCTGCTTTGCCTGTGTGCGAGGCCCAACCGACACCCTTATCTCCCTCAGGAAACCAACGACGGGATTGTGACGTACAGAGATTTTCAAGAAACTCCCATGTTTCTATCTTGGCATCTTTGACAGCTTCATCGCCCGCTTCGTCGACTGTGTTCTGTGCCATTTTAAATAGCTTTTTCCGCTTCACTTGCTTCCATCAAGTCTTCCTCCGACTACTTGCAAGTCTTCAACTCCTTCCTAGATCGTCTAGCTTCGGTTTCGGCACTTACGACTTTGGCAATCTTGGTTTCGACACTCTAAGCTTTGACACTCACGGCTTCAACATCTCGACTTCAGCACTTTTGGCTTGAAGATTAGGGAACAAATCGTCCTCATCGTCGCAGGAAGAATCTGTAGCATTTGGATCGTGTAACTAGATTTTATTTGTGGGCTATGATCGGTACCCAAATCATGTTATAGTTCAGGAGTTGTCTCTGAGACTTCGACATTCTCGGTTTTGGGACTTTCGATTTCGACACTTACGGGTTGAGGATTGTTAATCCCGACAGTGTTATCAGTTTCTTTTTGGGGGGGATGTCAATCAAGAAGGACAAAAATCAGACAGTTAAATTATGAGTTTTCTATAATTAGGAGTTTCTTTATTTAAATTATTTCTAATATTTTTATTGTGATTTATTTACCTTTGAGCTGAATATTTAGATTGAGAATATACATTATTAAGTTATCTAAAATAGATTTTGTATTTTATTTTGTACCTAAAATAGATTGTAAGATTATTATTTAATGAAATGAAAGCAAAGGGAAAAAGCATTGAGCCTATTCAGGATTCAACCTATTTTTCTCAAAACTTTGACAACAATATGCTATAGTTAAAAGAGCTGCTTTTGATTAACTCTCACGTTTGTATTTCTCGTCACTGCGTAGAAGGGTAGGATAGAATATTATTTTATTTTATTGGCCTAAAAAATGATGATTGGGATGCCTCGTAGTTGCATTACGGTGCAAAGTTCAAATGATGGTATGTACTATGTGTGATTAAAGCTTGGGGTTTAGGGCTTACATGTTAGTGTTAAGGTTTTAAGCTTTAAGATTTGAAGTTTTTTGGGTATAGGGTTTAGTTTTTTTTTTTTTTCATAATTTTATTATTATTGTTATTATTTTATAGGGTTTAGTTGTTTGATATATAATGTTATTAGGCAAGAAGGGCTGATGGAGGCGATTATAGATTTTTTTTTTTTTTGGAAATTCTGCAAGAAAACTAGTTGGAATCATGTTTGATATTCGTTGGGGATTTAGCAAAGATAAATTACTAAATTTACTTGTCCTTACTAATATGGTTTTGAACTAACTATAAACTGTAAGCTTTGTTTTATAATTCAAGCATATAAAGACTGAAATTTAAGAAGAAAATGTTTATATTCCTAAAGAGAATACCAAGACAAAGCATATATATATATGCCCAAACTTAAATTAAGTCCAAACAAAACAGTATACCGGACTCTTCCACTATGACCTGTGCCCATGTTTTGTTAACTTGTGTTTAGATATGAACCATAAGTTTTTCCACTTCAAAATAAAGTTTTTTCTTGTGGCTTTCAAACCTTGCTTCATGACAAAAATGTGTTGGAAAAAGTTTAGGTGCCTGAATTTTAAAATTTTTGTAACAATCCGTCTACCTGCATTTTCATAGCTCATTTCTCTAACATATACTGTCTTTGGGTGAATGTGGTTAACCCCTTTGAAAAACTTTATATTAGATTACACAACTAACCACTTTCTAGCCTGATCCTGATTTCTAAAGTCCGACCCATTATATATATATATATATAGAGAGAGAGAGAGAGAGAGAGAGAGAGAGAGAGAATCATGATTGATGAGGATAACTATACTTTTGCTTGGAACAAGATGTCATTTGCTTCTAAAGAGTCAATTTCAATTTCTTCTCTCGTTTGCGAAAGCTTCCAACATGGCTCTACATTGACAAAACACTGATGGTGTCTATGGTGTTTGAGCATGAATATGCATATATCTAAGTGAATACAAGAGAAAGGATTCTTTTGAAACTTTACAAAAATAAAAGAGTTTTATTTGAATTGGAGCCCTCTTAATTTTTATTTTAAATTTTTTGATAGAGAAAATAATGTACAATGTTTTAATCCATTTTCGAAGTTAAATCCATGAAAAAGGCCTAATTAAATCAGTAACTCTAAATATGTCTACATATTATGTATTATTTTAATAATTGAATTACTTTCTCAATAAATAAAAAATTTAATTTTAAAATTTTATCTTTCAATTCGACTTTTTATGCAATTATTCATATTTTATAATGCTATATGCATATTTATCGTATTTTATGTTGTAAATATTTAATATATTTTGAGTTGACTTGAGTTATGTTTGATTTAGTTGAGAGCAAAATTTCAGGTAAGTTTGGAAACGGTGGAATTTTGCTTGTTTTCAATAATCCTTGGTGAGGTTTTTTTTATTTTATTTTATTACTAAAATAGAAAGTAATTTTGTAATGTTAGATGCAGCTCCTAAAATCGATTTGAATCCATGAAACTTCCAGTAATGAGGTAGTTTTATTCCTTAGAATAATTTTTAAAAGGTTTAAATGCATTTTGTATTTTAAAAATGTATTTTTTTTTAATGAGAATATCAGAACCTATGAAGTAACCTGTAGAAGAAATGAATTTCCCTAAATCTAATAATTTTAGTATTGATTTATATTATTTCAGGCTGTCCTAAAACAATTTTATGGAAGTTCTGAAAACATTGTTACTGACGACTTTGAACTCCATCAACACCAGAAACTTGAAAAGCTTTTCACCTCAACACGCACAGCAAAGGTTAGCAACAATCTCTTTCTTTCAATTTGAAATATGGTTTGGTGTATCTGCCCGATAAGTTTATGCATTTCATTGCAGCATTATCAAAGGGATTTAGTGCGTGGTGTGGAAGGTTATATTGTTACTGGATCTAAGCAGGTTGAAATCGGTACGTTCCGCAAGGTCTAATTTTTTTTCTTGTTGATAACTGTAATGTTTATACCTGAAGATTTGCTCTGCAGGTACAAAATTATCTGAAGATAGCAGGAAATATGGAGTTGATAATACTTGTACCAGTGGCAATATTCTTGCAAAAGCAGCCTTAGATTATGCAAGGGCTCGTTCTCAGATTGAAAAGGAGCGCGGAAACCTATTGAAGGCATTTGGTGCACAGGTTTTGCTGTATATTGGTTGATGCGTCTAAAAAATTACCATAAGTTTTCATAATTTTTTTTTGCATCCTATTTTGGGAAATCAAATGAGATCCAATTGCTTTTGATTTTTCAAAACTATCTCATTCATATTAATGGGCTGTGCATTACGATAAGAACACAATAAATACAGGGAGATGATCTATCATGGATTAATGGAGCACTAGTTAGGCAGGATGACACTTTTGAAATTTGGACAAATGTAGATAAATGCATAAATAAAATTTAAAGATAACAAACAAAATAATTGTTGTTCTAGATAAGGTGGTGGAATTTGAAGAGTAAGATATTATTAATCCTTGGTGAAAATTAATATGGCAAATTGGAATTTATTAGTTGAGCTAACTTTGATATGAGATAAGTTGACTAGTTTTATTTAGAACATTGTTATAGAAGTTCTGAAGTGTCCTAGAAATGTATCATCATTGAAAAGGAGATTTGGAGGTTGAGTAATGGGGTTCAAAATGTTATTAAAGAAAAATATGTTTTTGTAAAGAGCTATAAAAATTGAAGGTTATTGAGGCTTGTAATGATTGCAAGAGTCCTAGAATTCTTGTAAAGAATATAGTGAGCTAATTAAATGTTAAAATTTCTGATGATTGATATAACAAATTTGATGCTAAAGAAGAAGAAAATAAGATTTATAGAGTTTTTATGGCAAGTGATAATGGATTCAGAAATTCGATTAAGTTAGATGGAAAGATATTGCAGTCTTATGAATTTAGTTGCCAGGAAATGATGAAGATATCATTTTGAGAAATTATTAAATAGTCTTATTAAATAAATTATTTTTGAAGTGCATAATGAAAGAAAAAAAAACTTGTTCTAGATTAATTCAAAAGAAAAAGTTGAGTTAATTTTGAGGAAGTTGCATCAAAATCTTTTCAATGGAATTTTGATGATTAAGAGTATGCTAAGTGGTCATAAAAGTAAAATTTTGGTTACAAATATATAAGAATAAGGATATATTTATGGTTCTTTTAACTAAATAGATATGAAACTTGTGAGTCATACAATGAAGCTATAGAAGTGAGAGATGATACTTTATCTTAGAAAAATTATATCAGCTTTGGAAAAAATCAGTTTTGTTTCTTGCTTAGGAAGATCTACCATATAAACTATCTTTGTATTAAGACAATTAATTAAATATTATAGTTAGCATATAAAATATTTTCATCTGATTTTAGTTGAATTTGATAAATGTTTATGGTCAAGTATCACAAGAATTTGATTGGGTGTATATTAAGGAAGTAATATGTATGTCAATTATCACCTAAGGGAACAATCTGCAATCAAATTGCTTTTTATATTTCATGGTAATAGATGCTTGGTTGATCTATGATGGATTATTCAGTTAACTACTTCCATCCTAGTTCATGGAAATTTTATCTACTGCTCTTCTAAATTTCAAGTTTTCAATTCCAAAGGGCATAATTTAAGTCAGAGTAATCTCGTTGCTAGGTTGCTTCTATTACCACAAGCAACTACGATAGAATTCTATTATCATCAATAGTTCAGATTAAGAGTTATACTTTTATGTTTTATTTTTATAAGACTGATTCCAGGTGGTTGAGGAGACTTTGAATATCACCTCAAAGGGATTATCTAGCCTAAGTAGATCTTCATCCAAACAATCTCCTCCTTCTTTTAATGTCATAAAGAAATTGCCTGGTATTATTGACTTGTTTGACTGTGAAAATGTGGGGAGTGACCTATAGATTGATAACCTATTAATTATTCATATGTGGAGAGTCCTGAGGCAGCCTAATTCACTAAGGCTAGCCTCAAGGACTCCTTTCCCATATTGTGACTATGGAAACTGCCGAGCGTAAAGGGGAGGCCGTCTATCTTAAAAGCTTTTTTTTTTATTGTAATGGTCCAACAGGGTTCCATGATGTTTGAACCTTAAGAGGGCAGGTGCTAGATAGGATTTTCATGTAAAATCTTTAGAGTGCATGTTGATTCGAAATTCTAATAGGACATTTAGTATTTCGGATAAGGTCATTAAAAAATTCTTTAGAAAGCTTTTGATGAAACCTTCCTCAAAGCACTGCCTCACCAACTCCTTTATTATCTCGTCATAAGCTTCCTGAATATAAATTTGAATCACCTGAGGGTGTACTTCAAGGACCATTGGAGTCCACCATTCGAATGTATAGCACAACCAAGAAGTTGGTTTGAATTGGTGTTTTTCAAAAATTATATATAAAAAAATTTAATAAGTGTGGAATAAAATTTTGATTTATAAAAAAATAAATAAATAAATAAAAGTGAGTGAACACTAACAAGAAAAAACACATAATAAATTTTTACGAGGTTTGGCTCTTTGCCTATATCCTCGTCTCGACTTCCACCGCTTAGGTTTTGCCTGCTATCATAAACTACTGAGCATAAAGGGGGAGAGATCTTACAGACTTGTTGGTCACCTTATAACTCTAGAATTGCTTGCAAATGATGTGGCATTGTATAAGCTCAAACTTCTTGAGAGAAAATATTTCTTTGAATAGAGTTTGCTAGAGAAATATTGTAAGATATGCTTGACTGTATAGTGCATTGGTTGGAAACAAAGTGAAGAATACCAATTTACTGGGTTCTAGCTCTCATCTTGCCCGAAAAAAAGTGGTATAAGATGATTTTCATCAAAACATCTTCTATGTAATGCCTCTCAAAATATGGTTAAAGTATGTAAAAATATGCCTTAATTATTCTCCAATCGGCTCTTAAATAACCCATAAAAAAGGCACTAACAGTTTGGCGAAGTTCTCTTATATTTAAGCCCAACTGTTAGCCCAATAAGTAAAAAATAGCTAATTATGAAAAATCATAATAAATTTAATTTTGATAAAAAAATATATTATGTAACCTATCAAATTGTGTAAAAAAAGTCCCGTGAGTCTAATGGAATAAAATAGAATTCAAAATTCAATGGTTTTATAAGGATTTTTGCAAAAAATACAATTTTTGTTACATTTATGTCAATTTTTAAATATATTGAATAACATTAAAAAAAACTGAAATATTATATATAGAAATAGATATAAATCAGTAAATTATCATAGAGATTTTAAATTAAAATAAAAAATTAAGCACACAAAATAGAATTTGATTAATGTAGCCTTTTTATTTAATTAGTATGATTTTGTATAGTTATGCAAATTTTCATAACTTCAAAATAATAAAAATAAAAATTTTATTTTGAAAATTTTTCTCTTCTTTGATTTTGAACCAACATTTTCAATTATAAATCTAAAGACTAAAATAAATTTAAAATAAATAAATAAATAAATAAAATTCTTTCACCTCGCTTTGATTATCTTCTGACTTTCTTGATCATCTTTCAACTCTTTTGATTTCACAATTTCAATTTTTGTTTTCTTAAAATCCAAAATTTATGCAACCGCTTAATTCTGAAATCACTTATATAATGTGAATGATTAGAACTCCAAACATATGTTTGTTATCATCAAATAAATTCATGTATATCATGTTCACATAGGGTAAATACCATTTTTCTGAAGGATGCTATGATCTCCCTCTCCACAAGCTGGACCTGAAGGCAATTTAGAGTTTTTGTTTCTGATGCCAATTTTAGATTGGGCTCGCCATCTGAATAATCTATATTTCATCTCACTATGAGGAGAGGATTTTTTCCGTGATTGCCAACTTAGCATGCGACCGGGTTGTTGGAAAAGCAAAGGTTCCAACAATTCATGATCAGGACATTGCTGTAAAGTGACACAAGATCATCAACTGCTGCGAATCAACTTCGTTCCTTTGACAATTCTTCTATTAAACATTTAACAAAATCTGGTAAACTTCATACTACTTTTTTTATGAAAAGAATTAAAAAACAACTCTTTACATCAAGAGGGGGATGCTTCTCTTTCAGCCTTGGCATGTCAGTGGAGGCGAAAAGGCTTTTATTTTTTAATTGTTTGTGACATGGAGGCGAAAAGGCTTTTATTTTTTAATTGTTTGATTAGGTGCATAACAACCATATTGTTTACCTTTTCCTTGGCTTCTTACTTTTCAAGCAAAGTTTGCAAAAGAAAATTTTAAATTTTCTGTTTTAATTTTAATGTCCAGGTTGCAGAGCCTTTAAGGGCCATGGTAATGGGTGCTCCATTGGAGGATGCACGACATCTTACTCAGCGTTATGACAAAATTCGACAGGAAGCTGAAGCTCAGGTATTATTACTTAATTCTCTTTAATCACTTATTTAAAAAAATATTATAGTTTTCTTAATTTTAAGCACATGTATTATTTCCTAGTATGCGGCTTGTTTTTATCTTATTTAGTGTTCTATGATGATAAATAAATCTTACTAGGCATATCAAAATGGTTATAAATAAAATTTCCTTTTGGATGTGTAAATTACTCTTTTTCTTTCGAGATTTTAATCTTGATTAGGATTGAGTAAAATATTTTGAGGAAAACTTCTCCTAAATAAGTAAAATTACTCTTTTTTTTTAATTGTGATTTCTTACATTTCCTGTCTTTTCCTCTTTTCTTTTTTTTAAAAAAATTTTTCTTCACGTTTGATTTTTGTGAGAAGACCTGCGAGCATCTGAATTTTTCCCGTTGTATAAAGTTTCAAACACTTCTGTGACTTTGTTGATACGTAGTTTTCTTATCTTTCATTTTCACTAGAAGGACGCTATCTTTTTGCCTGTATTGAACTTTTACAGTTTTTAACTTTCAAGGAAAAGTAATAAATACTTCTTAGATTAATAGCTTAATTTCAAACAAAATCTGCATATATGTTGGACAGTTTTGTTATCAGAGTGTACAATTTTCATGCACAACCCTGTAATTCTGTGACCATACATCACTTCATGTTTGAAAAGGTTTTAAATCCTGGAAATGAATAATATTAGGCTATTGAAGTTTCAAGGCGTCAGCAGAAAGTTAGAGAAGCTCCTGGCAATGTTGATAATAGTTTAAAGGTGGAAGCTGCTGAATCGAGGCTTATGGAGTTGAAATCAAATATGTCTATCTTAGGTAAGGAGGCTGTTGCAGCAATGTCTGCTGTTGAAGCTCAGCAACAAAGATTGACCTTACAGCGGCTTTTTACAATGGTACATGTTATTGAATTATTTGTCAGCTTTACGATTAGTGCCTGTGATACCCTTGGTAATTTATGCTTTTTTCACTGGTTTTTTTGTTTTTCTTTTTGGCCTTGAAGATTGAGTCAGAAAAAAACTTCCATCTAAGAGTGCTGCAAATCCTTGAGCAACTGGAAGGAGAGGTTATTACATGGTGTCCCTATTGCTTTTTGTTAATTTATGAGATCTTCTAAAGGGACATTTACATACATATCATCCAATTCCTATGTATTTACATGTCTAACACCTAAACTTTACTTTTTATGTTTATAACACTCAAATCTTCATATCATATCAAAAATACCGCCATTTTAACTTTTAAAAAGTGATGCACCTTTTTATGCATAGCTAAGGCGACATGCATGTAAAATTTGAAGTATAGGACTTAGATGTGTAAATACATAAGAATCTCCAAAATACAATTCTACCAACAAAGCCCAAAAGTAATAGAGAAGATGTGCATTTGATGTATGGAATAACCAATTTGTCCCCATGTAGCATTAGCTTGAGCCGAGCAGGAGGTAACACAGCCACCACATATCTATCAGCCTTGGAGCCGGTTCCAGCAAGCCAATTGGCAGGGAGGTTGCCTTCTCTAGGTACATAGCTCCATAAAACATTTATATTCTTGACAAGAGAAAGTATGCGTTTAACACAAATTAAAATATTCAAATTAGGAAGTTTAAAGCCCTGCAAAATGTTAGTTAATTCCAAAGAGTCTAATTAAACATGCAGATAATGCCAATTGAAATTAACAACAATTTTGATGGCTAATAACACAGCTCGGGCTTCAGCTTCTAAAGCACTAGCACCTACATTGTTAACATTCCAACTATCATCGGTATTAATTTTGATCCATAGGGAGGCAGGTTTCCTCCATGCCACCTGTTGAACCATAGGAATTTTCTTCTTCTCGCCATACCTACTAAGAGAAGTATTAAAGTAATCCATCCCATGAATGAAATTGAAGCCAACGTTACCATATTGAACAACTTTATGAGTGTAAGAGATAATATTAGCAACCACACTGTACACATTGATCCCAAGGTTATCATGTTTCATAGAGTTCCTAGCCATCCTTGAGAACCATATGGAAATATATGGAATCAAGTTAGCAATGTGATTGGCCCTATTCTTATGATTCCAAGATAATACACATTGATCCAGAGTATTCCAGCCGTCAACAAGAGCATCAACGCCCAATATGCTACCAAATGAGTTCGACATTTTAGTAGCAAAAAAGCATTTGAAAAGCAGATGAGCAAAATTTTCCTCTTCTACGTTAAACATCACTCATTGAGAAGGTAACGTTAAACCTTTGAGTTTAAGCAAGTCAACAAGAGGAATTAAATTATAGTAAGCTCTCCATAAGAAAAAAAGACATGGAGGGAGAGTAATTTACACCATATGGCTTTACCCCAATCCACCTTTGCCCAAGAGTGCATATTATGATATATAGATTTAGTAATTGAGATAGAATTAGAGAATTTAGTAATCAAAATGTCTTTTGAGATCTGGCAAAAGGAATCTTTGATATAGAGTGAGTCATATATTGGCCTACCAATTGCTTAGGCATATCATAATCCCACGTAGTACCATTCCCCACATCAGCCACTTTCAAATTAGGTGTTATTTTTGCCTAAGCCATTCAATTCATCAAAAAGCCAATTATCATCCCAAAAGGACAGATTACCCTCCCCAATAATCCAAAAAATGCACTTCTCAGCAATGTTTCAAATATTAATCATACCTTTCCAAGTACGAGCCACAATTTAATGCTATTAATGTCAGCAAGATGGTGAAGCTCTTTGAAGTCCACCTCGCCAGCATTAGTAGGTTTGCAAAATAACAAAAACCCACAATTTATGGATCTTAACAAAATAATTGAGCCTATTAAGGGAAGAGGGATCCACAATCCCCCTCATATTCTAGAATATCATAAGAGAGCTTTACCTTTCCTAGTAACCCCAGGAAGTGTAACTGCATCACCATCAAAGCAAGAGTGGGAGCTCATACATGGTATTGCCTGCCTCTACATTTCTCAATTCCTGATTACCCCTTTTTTTTTCCTCTTTGATTTTTGTGCATTCCACTCCTCTTCAACCACCTCTCTAGCAGTAGCTAAAGCCTCCTCTACATAGGTATAATCTACTCTCACAACACCTCTTTCAGGGTAAATGGTAATTTTAGGAGCAAAGACCCCAACTTCCTCCTGTGGCTCCAAAGTATAATCATTTTTCTCTGTAATGTTATCATGATGAAGCAACTCTCCTTTCTCTCTTATATTATTTTCTGCAATTCCTTCCTCCATGTGTTAGGCATCAACACCCTCCACAATTATAGCATTTTGACTTTGTTTCTCTTTATTTGCCATAGTCAGATTATGAACATCATTTCATCTTCATACATATTAGGTGGCGGTTTTTTAAATAGCCCTGAATGTAGAACATAACAGTTATCTATTAAATGTCTAAACATTCTGTAATTAGTACAATAGTGCGGATTTCGCTCAACCACAACTTGCTGCCTATACCCATTATGAGTAGAACATAACTAATCCAAATCTTTTCTGCCACAGGTAAAGTGATGTCTATTTCCAGAAGCACACAAGCCGTTGAGGGACAAGTAGGGTTGAAAGTAGGAATGTCCATTTTCATAGGTATGCCAAAAATAACTCTCAAAGAGAACAACATTTCATGATTAAGCATGTGCAATTTTAAACCAGGAAAGAGAAACCAAATAGGGATGATGGGGTGTTTTGACCGGGCTCGAAGTCAACCGACCAATTAAGAAGTTTCATATTTTTATTCTCGATTTTGATATATTTCGTAGCAAATTTATAAACATAATTCTCCTCCCCACTAAGTTTGATCAGAATGTCTTCCATCTAGAAGCCCCACTTTCCATTCACCCATTAATTTATGAATGAGTTTCATTTTCGGGTGACCATACAAAAACTTACTAACCAGAGAAAACTTACAAAGAAGGGAGAGTGGAGTAGTGTCATTTTCAGAGAGGTAGATATCAGGTTTCTCATTCTTCTTACCAGATTTACCTACAACTTGTAGATCACCATTCCCTTCTAAAGTATCGTGGTAGGATTGAGGAAAAATATAGCTTTTGGAATCACTTTTTGATGATAACCAGCCAATCAAGCATTGCGCCACCATGATGCCGAAAACCTAGCAGAGAAACACGCCTCCCTGTTTATATATATACATATATACATGCATATATATATATATATATAAATTGAAGTTTAGGCGATAAATGTCAATACATAGGTTTTGAGCAGTATGTATGTAAATATTCCTAAAGATAAATATTGGAATATTGCTTGCCTACCTCTTTTCTAACTCATAATGTTTCTTTTGGCAATTCAATTTGCATATTGCACTAACAGATGATTTCAGTATCTTCATCTCCTGCTTCACTTATTGAACCGGATATAGCTCCACCTCCAACCTATGAAGAAGCTAATGGCATTTTTAGTTCTAATCCAGTTAATGGCCTGACTGATTCCATGGGATATTTTTTAGCCGAAGTAAATTCCTTATTTATTTCTGCAAATTTTGTTCTTCAAGACAAGACCACTGTTTGTTCACACCTATTTCTCTTCTTTTCAGGTCATCCAATCGTATCAGGCTGAAACTAATGTCGAACTCAACTTGTCAGTTGGGGACTATGTGGTTGTACGAAAGGTATGCATTTCTCGTAATCGTCTACTTATTATTAGTTCGAGGATAATTTAGAGTTCGTTTGAGAAAATTTTCCTGCAGCTTTCCATTTCTGAAAATGTTTCTTCTTTATTTTACAAGCTGTTTGATTATTTTGCTTTTTGAGAAACGCTTTAAAAAAACTCTATTTTTGCCAATTCGAACCATAATTTCTATTAAACTTTAAAAATTGGCTTTTAGTGAAAACAAGTTTTTTAACAGCTTTTTTAAAAAGAGAAGCTTAACCAGACATTTTTTTTCTCTGTTTCTTGTGAGAGCAAATCTGTCATCCACTTAGCATAGTTTTGCAAAACCTTGGCCCCATGAGAAGCCACATGATTAATTGTTGGTTTGAGGCAGTAGGCAGTATTTTCATATGTTTCTATTACAATTCTTGTCACAGATCTACTTGGCCACAACTTTCCTGCTACTGTTTTAGAATTTTTATTTTTTTGGTGAGAAACAGCTTTTAACAAAAAGGGATAATTACATGCAAAGCACTTGGAACTTTATTATTTACAAAACTAGCACCCAAGTCATTTTTTGAACTCGTGTTTTTGCTCACCACGATAAAATCATTTCAAATTTGATAAAAATGAAAAATATTTGTTGGGGCTTTATTCTGAATTTTAATATTTGGGCGAGAATTTGAAAAACAGATGAGATGGGGAGCTAATTTTGTAAATAGCAAAGTTTTGAGGGCATATGTTATGCCTGAAAGTAATTATATTTGCTCCTGTAGTTTATACTTGTATTGAATTCTAAATGATTTGAAATTTGGCTGTATTTTAGTGAGAAAAAACCTGTCATTTGCGAAAAAATATTACCTCAGGAGTAGTGATGCATCGGTACTCCAATGGGAAGATGCCACGTGGCATTATGGTGGGACCATTGCATATGTGGGACCTCCTCATTGGAGTACTGATGCAGCATCAGTACTCCTAAGGTAATATTTTTTTTGCCATTTGCTAGGCATAATTTTTTTTAAAACTTAGCTTCTGTACAAACTACAAGATGGAGGTCTCTGCCAACAAGAGCATGTTTTTATTGATTTCAAATACATTGAAATTCAGAAACATAATTTTTATTTAAAATTAGCTGCTTATTGCTTCGGCTCTTCAGACTGTAATATGGGTTTATAAAAGCGCTTGCAGGTCTCCGGTAACGGATGGGCAGAGGGTGAATGCAAAGGAAAAGCTGGTTGGTTTCCTTATGGCTATATTGAAAGAAGAGATCGTGTTCTTGCAAGTAAGATTGCTGAAGTTTTTTAATATTTGTAGTGCATAAACTGAAGCCTTGTAGTGAAGACCGAGTAAATGCATATTTTTAAATGTAATGGAAACGCATAATGCTTGTTATTATTGCTTTTTCCTCAGAAAATCCATTGTTTTTGTTGACTGTAAAAATAAATAAAATAAAAATAAAAATTTATATTAATTAAAATTAAAATTTTATCTAATCCTGCCTCCTGTTGAAGCCCACTCAATTGTGATAACCCCTCGCACTCTCTTCTTCAAGAAAATTTTTTATGCAGAGTCTGAATGCAGTTCTGCGTGCGGACTCCACTAATATGTCGCCACGCGTGCTATATATATATTCTCATATTAATATGCATGTACACTTACATATGATTTGAGCCGTTACTTTAATTGTATTAACAAATTTAAATCTTTGTTTTAGAACTTGACTTGTGTTTGTAATATATTGACTTTCAATGTTAAGTGATGGTTTATCTTATAATCCATCATATCTTAATCCTATATGAGTATTTAGATGTATGAATAATTCAAAGGATGTCATTCAAAATTAATATTTAAAGTTGAATCTGCTATCTAGTTCATATGTAAGATCATTAATTTCAAAGTCTTTTAGTTTTATAATCTAAACCCTCAAATCATAAGGTAAGTCAGCTTGGTAGGTCACAATTATGTAGGCTAATGCTTTCATCTCATCTTTACTCATATTAGGTGCTATAATAAACAAAATATTAGATATTTGTTTATAATTTTCCTTTAATATTAAATTGCATGTTGTATAAAAATGATATTAATTTATTAGAATTTAATGAAAACATGACACTAAATAGGACGCAATGGAAGAAAAATGATTCATATAGCCGACCCTACTTAGTAGGATAAAGATTTTGTTGTTGTTGTTGTTGTTGTTGTTGTTGTATTAAAGTAGATGTTGCTTTCTATATTTTCTTTATAAGCGTTTATGACTATTTGAAATGAAGCTTTGGATAAGCTTTTTAAAATCTTAAAAATAATGGATGAAAACTTTTCTTAAATTTTAAATTGCATGATCTTAGATCACTTTTGAATGTACTTTGCTCATTTTGTCTTGATGGAAAGGGTACAAAGGAGAGTTCATATAAATACAAAATCTAGTTGAATCATTAATCATGATACAATTTTTTTTCTCTTGTATGTAGCTAAAAGTCTCATTTAAAGATGTCATTTTATATCCACTGATATTCAATGACATATGCTTCCTCCATTGACATTGTCTAACATTTTGATAAAATTAAGTTCACAAAGATAATCTTAAAAATGCTTAGATAGCGATAGCCATGATCTTGACAAACTTGTAATACTGATTGGGTAACTTAATTCATATAATGAAACTATTATTATTATTATTATTATTTTCGGTAATTCTCTACAAAAACCTCTTCATAACATCATATATTTTTTGCTAATCAACAATAAAACTACTGATGATGGTCAAGATAATATTTCATCTTGTGGTGGAATTGTACAACCTTTAGGGGGGGGTCCTTTAGGAGATAAATGAAGGATGGGGGCACTGTGGAGGGAGAAAATATTACATGGAGTCTTGGTGTATTATGACTCAAATCACTGCATATCAGGTGTACAGTCTGATCCCCCTTAGTAAAAATAAAAAAAATTAATTAATTAATGCATGGTGGGGCCGTACTGTATACGTGTCAAATCGTGATTGGAATTCTGATACATTTTTGCATCAGGACTCCTGATGTAATATTTTTTTTATGTCCATGACAACTCTCTTTTTGGGTATTGATGATAAAACTATCTATAATTGTTTTTATATATTTTAGGCTTTTAATTAGGAAAAAATATTACATCAAGAGTCCGTACACAACTATGGGTTTAAGACTTTCATGAAATTTTGCAACGTGTAACCGGTGGCCCCACTGAAAGAAAAAATTTTAATGCATGACTCGACCCAATCCAGCCCAATCCAGCCCATTTCTTCGAATCGAATCATTAGACTCCATTGTTTTTTCTATGCCTACAATTCCTTAAAATACATATTACTTGTTTTAATTCAAGGAATAAATGCTACTTTTATTATATGAATTGAAATATGTGATTGATTTCATTATGATCGACCCGGCTGCCTGCGTCTTCTATATCTACCGATGATCTCGCGGGGTCGATCTGGCAGGGTCTCCAAAGCTAGGGCTGAAATATGTGATTGATTTCTTTATGATCGACCCCGCGGCCTTTGGAGCAGGAGAACGAGTTGCTTACTGAAAAGAGCTTCTGCTTCTTGCTTCTCGATCTCCGTGGGAGCTGTTCTGGCTCTCTCAAAGCGGCGGGGGGCCTCGTCGAGCCGATCAAGAAGAGGCTGATTTTCTTCTCTCTTCAATAGCTCGTTCAACTGTTCCCCTATAAACCCGGTCGCCGACAATTGCTCCGGTGTCTCGCCGCAGAACCTCAAGAGAAGAGGATACGATCTCGAGAAACGGGTTGCCGGTGTCTTCCTTCTCCGGCGAGGTGTCATCGGAGTTACCGGGAGTTGCCGGCGGTGGGGAAGATAGATTGGATTCATTGCTCGTTTGTTCTTTTCGACTGAAGACCGAGAAAGGAAAATATCGAGGAAACTATTTTTTTATTATTATTTTGGAATTTCAAATTGACATTTAGGGGTGTAAACGTTGTATTTTGAGCTCAAAAAGTGTGTTCGTGTTCGGCTTATTTGCTTAACGAGCCGAACACGAGCTGTTCACAAACAAAAAGTCCTTTTGACAACCATAATCATATAGCCATAAGAAAATAAGGGTTTGAGCAAGATTTAAAAATTATTATTTATATTAAAACATCATTTGAATCTAATTTAATAATTTTATTCTATTTTCTTAATCAATATTTTAATTAATTATAAATCTTTTGTAGTCTTGTATAGGGGTGTAAATGAACCGAACACGAACGAACAAAGCTTGTGTTCGTGTTCGGTTCGTTTAAAATTTAGTTTGTTTGAAATAAGCTCGTGTTCGTTTCTTAACGAACGAGCCGAACACGAACCGAACACGAGTTGTTCGCGAACGACGAGAAATATACAATATCTATATTAGTATATTACTACTATAGTATATTAATATATTATTATTATTATTTTATTATATATTATAATTTATAAAATTTAATGTTTTAAAATATAATAAATTTTTTATATATAATTATTTTATATTATTTTATATTTCAAACAATAACGATTCGAACACGAACCAACGCATCACTGTTCGTGTTTGGTTCGTTTAACTAACCGAACGAAAAAAATTTGTTCGTGTTTGTCTCGTTTACTTATCGAACGAATCGAACACGAACTGTTCGCGAACAACGAGCTTTTTTGACAGCCCTAGTATTGTAGTCAATTAGATTTTTTTAAAATACTACTTAATATAAATATACACTTGATGAGTAGTATTTCAACCCAAAACCAGTCGAACACGAACGAACACATCTTAGTTCGTGTTCGGCTCCTTAAACTTTCCGAACGAAAGAGCCGAACACGAGCTTCTTAACGAGTCGAACACGAGTTGTTCGCGAACAACGAGCCGTTTTGACAACCCTATTGACATTCATAGCATTCAAGTCTTTAATATCAATTAAAAAATACCACTTTGATTTTACATTAAATAAAATAACTTCAAAATATTTAAAATATTACATTATTTTTTTTGTTATATTCATCTTATATTGTATTATATTTTCAACCGACCAATACACTCTTGATATTTTTAAGAATATAGATTTTCATGCATAATTATTTTTATCAAAATATACAAAATATAAATGTCAAACTTTAGATGATGGACATATAAATGTAGTCAGCTTATTTGGATGAGGATCAGAATGATTGTTTATCCATAAACAACTGCAAATTAGTTGTTTTTCAAACGCACAAACCAAACAGTCAATAATTTAATCTGGATCAGCTTCTGATCAGCAGCTGATCAAGATAAGTTGCTTATCTGGATAAGCTGCAACTTGCCCTAAGCAGACCCTCAAACTTGGAGAAGAAGTTGAAGTCCAACATCACTCCTACATCCATCAATCACAGTTGACCATCGTCGACTACCACTCTTCGATAGCAGTTGACCATCAATCATCGATCGCCGCAGACCGTCTGTCAGTTTTCGTCGATCATCATTGACCTTCGCCCACTTCTTGTGAGATGCTCATTCGCACACCGATGTTATAAATCAAGAGGTCATGCAATCTTTTTCCGTTCGTGGGATAAAGGGTTGTAAATTTAATCACAAATTTCTAGTGGATCTGCTAAATCCTATGATCAGTTTTTCACTTAAAAACTTCTAGTATCTTTACTAATTATTTATTTTCATCTGATTGTGTGTTGAATCTTCAGACAACATTAAAACAATAATCTATTATCCTACCAACTTCACACTTCTATAAACTCGATGACTAAAATGACCCCACGTATATAGTAGAAAATAACATATATATTGATTTAATTTAATGCGTAATAAAGATAGAAAAACTAATTTTAGTACATTAATCTTTTTCATAAAAAGACCGACTGCAATGAAAATATGGGGAATTAAGACGGAGGCTGACGGCTGAACTTAAAAAGAAGTACGATTAATAAGTAATCAAGCAATAATTATTTCTTCAGTGAGTGAAGCAAAACAGATTAATTAAAGATGTCTGAATACTTTTGGAGGATTGTAGGACATCCAAATCTCATGGTATTATTTCTCCATCATAAATCAAGATGCTGGCTTCCAACCATCTGCTTAATTACTTGTAAGATTGAGGGCCAGTCACTAATTTGAAGAATTAATCATCTAATTTCCAATTAATGTCTAATGAGAATTTTTTAATTGATTTTTAATTTAATGAGGTTTGCTTGAAGAAGTTTTTTTGCTTTATTTCTTGTATGATGTTTAAGCGCATCTTATGTATTTATTCTCTCTTATAAGTTCAGCCATCATCCTCCTTCTGATTCCCCTATATTATCTCTTTTTTCTTAAATTAAAGTGTAAGGGTTGGATATGTAAATACATAAGAATTGAGTGATGTGTAGGTAAATCTTTCAAAATTTTAAAGTTTTCCCTCAAACATAA